TACGTAACGTGACCGAAAATCACCATGGACTGACAAATTCTGGTCTGCCACTTAGGCTAACACTCCCATGGTACGCCCCTTCCGAAACAAGATTGATTGACCATGGAAATCACACGTGAAAAATGCATGCTCACTTTCCTTCGCCGAAAACGGGACATAACATAGCTATCGACACAAACTAGTACATTGAATATATAAATCGCCTTTGTGTAGCACAATCAATGACGATAAAACTCATTCCGATGGCAAAATTTACAATGTAAACAAACTCGTTCACCTTCTACAAAATACGACTAATCAAAACGCGACTAACTCGCGACACAGTTGACACTGTAATGTAAAATTTTCCACGCTCATATCGTACCCTCATAATTTCTGGTAATATAAGGAATTACAGAGTACGCATTTTTACTCGGGTCTTCCTTAACTATTGTGGGGCTCTATACGGAGCGGATGTGCAATATCCTTCATACTGGGGCCGTCTACGTTTACAATCTATCTTACGCTATCTAGCAATACAAATCAAAATATTATACACTCCATCAGCTGAAAGCGAATGGCAGTTTTCAACAGTTGGGAAATATCAACAAAAATACATGATGAACTTTGTATTTATATTTTATTAATTAGGAATAAAAATAGAGACAGGGCCTCTTACTATTTTTATTTTTTTTTAATCCCATATTTTATACATTGGTTGGTTGGTCGGTTGGAGTAAATCGTGATAAATAGGCTATTCAGGTTATCAAGTTTCAACTATTGTATCATACGAAGTGAACGTTCATTGAGGATCAAACAATCTGAACATCGACCAAAGCATAATATCAGCGTAACGTAACCTTGAATCATCATCGACTGAAATAGTTATTGTCTGCTTGTCAGGGCAGTCGGCTAGTCACCACACCCATGACACACCTCTTTAAAAACAAGATTGATTGACCAAGAAAATAACGAGAATATCGGTCAGAGACCGGAGACTTATCAATTGAACGTTAGGGGATTCCCCAGAACAGAAACTGCGGTTTCGATTCATTCGCTCTTACTCCACAGCGACACCGTGTGTCCCATCACTAATTAATTAATAACTCGCTAATTATACGACATAATTCATCCAAAATCAATAGGCTTCTGGTCCGAGATATGATGAATGTACATGCAAAATTTGGAGGAGATTCAATGCTTTCGTGAGATATCGCGTAACATACAAAAGTGTCTAACAGACAAACAGACAAATACCTATCAACATACTTACCGATTTTAAGATTGAAAAGTGACAAGTGCTTATTATATGCATTAGAAATATATTATTAGTTTCAGATATTTCCACAGTCTACGAGTTCCACCATAGCTGTTGGCATCAATATGAATTGATGTATTGGAGATGTGAATCGCTGAAATAATTCACAATATGAAAAACTCTTCCACAGCCCACAATATATATATATAGGAGGTACTCAACTTCACAGATGAAGGTGCCACATTTTGACAACGTCAGATGAAACGGGCCACATAATATTATCAGCATGTATTTTTGTTCCATTTTATTCGCTGTATTCACTAGTCACACACTGCTATTTATTACGCTTTCGTACGTTTGTAGTTGCAACATTTTCCTAGTGGAGAGCTGTGGCAATATTACACAATAACACAGACAAATATCATTATACATATACTTGGCAACAATAATGTTTGTTCAATTACAATATACAAGTAACTGTTTGTGGCGTCGTTGTAAATTTGCTTGCTTTTGCAAAACAATTATACTTTTACAAATAAGATATAATTTTTTTTATTTATCTTTGCGATGGCAAATTTATTATTTCACGCAGAGTTGAAAACCTTGTTTCTGTCACTTACTTTTCTTTTTCGTCGCCATTATAGTTCGGTTCGTTTATTAAAGCCGGTGTGTTCAATTATTACCGGCAAATCGAGACCAGACAGCTTCATGTATTTGTATACCATGGCTTCGCAAACTGTTAAGCTCGTGACCCCTTCCAATGTATCAAAAATTTTCCAACCCCGCCTTTCGAATTATTTTTTAAATCTTTGCATCTTTGCTGTAACATTTTGCGGTATTTGCCAATTGCTAGTCAGATGAGGTTTGGAGTCAGTAACAATATTATAAATTAACCCACATTTAAAAATGATTAATAACTCACTTGCCGGTCATCACTTGACAGATTGATATTGGCTAAGCATGGGAAATTTTTTACTTGTTATGATAAGTAGGCGTTTGTTGTCTGGTGATATAAGTACTTTTCATGACATGAATAGTAGACGTGAGCAAGGTAGAAATTTTGCCAAAAATTGTTTATGTCCAGAGAAATAAAATTTTCTGGCGCTCAGATGGGTAAATGTGTACTCCCTTAGAATTAGATGAATTATATTCAAGTCGTGATGCATATTTCTGGTTTGAAAGAATTGGGCGTCGATTTAACTCTGAAAGACGTACGGTATATCAAATTAACACGCGATGATAATAATCTAATCTTTTTGATTTGTATCTTATCTTATCCCCAAATCAATCATACCAACTATTATTTTAGGTATTCATAAAAAATATACTTTAGTATCTCAGGCTACAAAAGCTTTAATCAAATATTTCATTATTCTGTACTCGTGATAGATAACCTAGGAATGGGGTGTTACAAAGTAGGTAAATGGTACGGGTCCAAAAAGAGAGAATTCAAAACCCACTGGCTCCAATATTGGTTACTACCTATAGTATTTCATGAGGTCAGAGCCCTTAACACGCCTTATTTTGAAAACCGTATTATTCAGACACACAACACGTGGCTAGTACGTGTCAATGAATTCTTTGAGATTCCACACTATCGTGTTACAACAATGCAATTTTTATTTACAACTACATAGCGTGATATAGTTATAATGTGGGATCGGTGAGCTTCAATAGTCGCCGGGTGTGCGTGCTAGTCAGACAATCAAAGTAGAACTGTATATGTATCATTTAAAATTGAAAAGGAAAAGAGGGGTGGTCGATCGACCACGGACTTCCATTGAGGACCAATCGACCGGAGTTTAATCTCTACGTAACGTTACCTAGTATCGTCATCAACTAAAATTTTGTCTGCTGCTCATGCCAGTTGGCTGATAACCACGCCCATATGCTCATTACATAGAATAAAATATCTCAAAATTTCCGAATTTTCTTTCACTGGCCACTGGTTCCACCATAGCTGGAATCTGGTATATATATCTGGTGTATGGTATAAACCAGGGGTCGGCATCCTACGGCCCGCAGGCCGAATCTGGCCCGTGACGCTTCACCAAATTATAGTATAACAAACCAGCTGTTATGACGATTATATTCTTTACGTTTACAGAATTTATTGGGAAAGACGTGTAGACTAAATTATATTACAACCTAACAAGTGCATAATTTATAATTACTCGGTTAACTAGCTTATAATTTAATTATAGATGGACAAATGGTAACAAAAAGTAAATGTAATGCAATTCAAGAAATGTATCACTGCTTGATATTTATTATGAAAAATATCATCTTTTCGGATTTCAATTTTCTAAAAAATATGTCCGGCCCGCCAATGACTTGCAACCCTTAATTTTGGCCCGCGAGCGACAATAGGTTGCCGACCCCTGGTATAAACAATGACGATAAATTTTGTTTCCATGAAAGAATTTACGGTGTAAGATAACTAAACCCACTAAATGTCAATCAAAAGGTGATGAACGATATTTTACCAGATTGCTATCCAAGCCCGCGGGCCGCGACACACCTCTTGAAAATCGTATTCTTTATAGACACAACGTGTGGTGATTTCGTTTCAATGAACGATGTTTATTCGGCACTATCATAGTATTCGTATCAAGATGACGCACAACCTGCTAACTCTAACATGGTACACATAATATCTTTAGGTTGTGCGACATCGTGGTACGAATAATACAGGAGCACAGTTTATTCATTGTGTGATGATGTCATTCGAAATGAACAGAAACTTCTAGAGGTTCAGATAGGATCAAACAATTTGAATATCGACCAAAGTCCAATCGATATTTACATAACGTTACCTGAAATCGTCGTGGACTGAAATAGTTCCGGCCTGTTACTCAGGACAACTGGCGGTTAACTACACCCATAGTACGCCCCTTCAGAAACAAGATTGACTGACCATGAAAATCACGAGTGGAAAATTACATACATTAGAAGATTATTGAAAGTTTAAAATTTTATTCACTGATTCCACCGTTAACTACGTGGACAAACTCTTTCATAGTCTACAATGAAAGTTTCAGAAGTTCTGGTAATATAAAGAGGTATACGCATTTTTGCGAGGGTCGGCCTTTAATATTGCGGGACCATAGGCGAAACGGGGCCTGTAGAAAATTGCGATACCCACTGCGATGCATACCCAGAAGTGATCTAAGGCCTACACAGCGTGCATTAGTTCGCGCACTGCACATAGTAACCGACAACTCTACTTAAAGTAATCACGTGGAGAATTCGTGGTGACATTTGAATTGCTAAGCTTGACGTAAACAATAACGCGGGTAAATCAAGCCTGGCAGACAATGACGTTGCATGTATATATATTTGGACTGTTATAGGGATAGATTATGAAGCATAAGTTAGATAATTTGATCGAGACTATCGGAAATACTATGGTTTACATTTTACTAATAAATACGTCATTGAAAAGCTTAAATAACATAATTCTAATTTATTTAAAAATTTCAATTCTGGTCTCTATTTCTGTATAACCACTAGTCACTGCCATACATATCAAATAACTGTTGCGCAAATCGTTTTTTTTGGTCCGTTAAAATGCTCGGAAATATAACACATGACCTATGTGGACAATGAAATAAGCGTGGAGAAGGAAGCATTTTCGTGTATATATATATTAATATATTTCAAATAGTAAAAAATAGCAAAGGCAGAAATAAGTTTTAATCAAAATATTATTATAAAAATTAACAAAAAACGAGAACCTTTTAATATTACAAAAGTTATTTGTATCAATTTGATTGTCCAATGCATCTGTGTGCAACATTTTTCGTCGTTGACGTTGAACTATGGAAACGAACTGCAATGAAACAGGATGAATGGTTTAATACCTGTGTTCCACCTATCCCATCAGTGACGACCGCCAGCGGTTCCGTTCCTGAGTATTTTATAATACACTAAAATATTCAATATTTGTTTTGAGATAACGAAATATTCAACCAAAAATATGAATGAAATAAATCTTTTCGAGCTTTTTATAACTATCGCCTTTTTATATTTTTTATTATGATATCGCCTGCCGTATGACCAGATATTCTTCATAACTTATTGTGATGCAGAACGACACAGTAACTTGTTCACATTCAGAAAAAATGCTTTTGAAGTACTCCATTCAAGTGTGCCAACGGATCATGTAGGTGTTTTGAGATAATATCACTGACATTAAGCGAACGTCATCTTCTGTGTTGGTGTGTAAAATTAAGTCTACAGTTAGGGCAGTATTCAATGTCCATTTCACATTCGAGGCATAATACAGGCATAGGGAAGCAGCATACGAAGGAAGCCCTTGCTTCTCGTAAGCCACATATTATGCAAGTTCTATGTACGGGTGCTGCATCTTCAACTTCAATATTTTTTGAAGATTCATCTAATGTGATTTTTCTGACTTTCCTAAATGAAAACATTTAATGGTTAACCGTTTCTTTGTTAAATAAAGTTTGACTTAGTAGTAGTAGTTAAATGGTATTAGCTTTATTTTTTGAAACAGATGACTACGTTTGCAAACTGAATGAGGGTATATATATTTACCTTGCGACAGTCACGTTGTCATCTGAATGAGGCAACAATTTCCTTTTTCGTTTCGGTTTCTCTGATTGTATATTCCCGTCAAAACCTCTGGCCATTGCGGCAAAGTATCTCTACTCTGTGCAAAGCGTCTCCAACTCTGTTTTGTAAGTATAAAACACTACTGTGTTTTCTCGTGTTTTGGGGTAATACTTCTTCAAAAGCAGTATCAATTATACGCGATGTATAAAAGATTCTTTAACGATGATTCGTAGATTACATTTTGGTTAACAGATAATATCTAAAGAAAATCAAATTTTTATCGTTTATAATTTATTTGACAGTACATATAGCAGATTTCTCGCAGGGCGCACCCGCGTTCGAGAATGCAATAATCATGAATGACTATCAGAAGCTGTATTTATAATGAAATGAATGACTTATCTCTCGCATTTACAAGGTGAGAGAATAGAAACAGTACCAAATCAACCAATCGAAACGAAATCATATACACAGCAAGCACACACATTGAATTTCCGAGGTACTGTTTGGGTAGCAGATAATTTAGTAACTGAGTAAAATGCCTTTGTACATTATAAAGATTGTAACGACTCATGTACATAGGATAATTCAATCAGATTTATTTAAGACTTCATTATCAATTGTAGTATTCCCCTATTTCGGACTGGTCGAATGCGATAACCAAGTCTGAATATTACAAGCTCTCTTCAAGTTAAAATGAATGAATTATCTCTCAAATTTACGGAGTTATAAACAACAAAGAAAATTACCCGACTAACCGTACCGAATCACTTAATCAAAACGACATCGAACGTGCTGTTTGGGAAGCGGATACTGAAGTGTATAATGTGAATAGTTCTCACATTATAAAAATTTTAACGACGCAGGTAATCAAATGATAATCAACTTTATTACAAGAACTAAATCGAAAGAACACGCAGACGGGGCTCCCGAAGTTTGCGAACCAAGATGGCGGACATCGGAATGTAATATGTGTACTAGGTTAGGGTTAGGCCATAATTTTAGCTATAAATACTACGGGAGGCTCTTGGCTAGTCTTCGAACTGATAATAGGACTAAAATAAGGAAAATTGGAAAAAAATTATCGCCTAACCCTAACCTGTTACCCATGTCACTTTCCGATGTCCGCCATCTTGGTTCGCATACTTCGGGAGCCCCACGCAGACTTCAATTTAATTGAAAGAAAGTCTTGTTTCAGAATAGAAAACAATTCCGTTACAATAGACAAACGACGGGTCCCGGTTAAATATTTGACCCTGCCTCAATAGAAATTACGAAACAAGTAAGATGAAGTAAGTCATAACTAAATTCTAATCTCGAATCGTCGACATGCCCTGGTCAAACGTTTGACCCTGCGTTGAAGCTAGCAGCTTTCAACTGAGACTTGTGGGAACAAATCGGCTCGTATTAGCTCGCTTTTTTCTCGTGACAATTCTGTTTCCGTTATGTGTGGCGTTTGAGCTTGGACGTTGCCAAAGTGACTATTATAGTCACTTTGGACGTTACCAAATGCGAAATAACGATACATCTCGCTAGCGAAGAATAAGATAAAATGATAGATAGAGGCCGCGTGGGTTTATTAAGTTGAGTTGAGTATGCATAAAACCAACTTTCGGATGCGACCAGACGACTTGATTTCATTTTGCAACCTGTAATAAATAGCAATCTGCGACCGCCATTAATTTCGATAATCAAATTTAAATGTTATGAGTTATATGGATTTTAAATATTTCATATTTTATGAAGACATAAAAAAAATCAGGTGAGAACCTTGACTACCGCACTGGTCCAATCTGTGGCTGTGTATATCCAGTATACATAAGATTTTTCTAATAGAATTGTATATGTTAAAAGCATTAAAGTAACTATACAGTCGCCCTACCGTAATACCATGCTCGAGGATTTTGAAAGCCATTCCAACGTTAGTACTTTATGTTCGATTCGTTTGAATACTCGTGGGCGTAAAGTAAACTCTTTGAAGTAAAGTCACATTCTGATAACAATCTAATAGTCAAAGATCCCATCTTATCGTCAAATCAATGATTATTTTATTTGATAAGCTTTTTTATAAATAAAACGTTTGTAACGATCAAATTAAAACTGTCGCCTGGATGTACCATATACGCTAAGTTGACACTTCGATCCCAGCAACACACAGGTATTCATTTACATGGTCTTCGATTTTGCGAAATGCTATTTCCACAATAAACGAGGAACTCAAATTTCACTTTGGCCTGAAAGAATTCCATTCACAAAATAACCTCCCCTTATATTCATTCTCGGTGTACTTTGATCCCGGGAGAGTGAGTCGAGATGTATTTTATGAAGCGACTATGGTTACATAGTAAAGATCGGAACGGATACAATCTCTATACAAACTTGAATCATACTATACAATACATCCTCTTTATACATAACAACAAAAACATGGATTTCCAGTTTTTTACATATATTTGGTTGGGCTAACAACTAATCAGTTACCAGAAAACGTCATGTGGCCGATACGCGTTCACTGAATAGCGTTCACAATCATTTCACATATATATATGAATCCCACTTATCGTTTGTTCAACCACTATAATCCATTGACAGAATAGGTTCGTTTAAAACGCCCTTTATTCTAAAACTACATTTATTTAGTCACAACCCTTTTCGGAAGCAACATACCTGCCACACACCCTCATGGGCCCAAGAAGTTAAATATAACGATCCACAAATACCGCACACGCAAAACGCGTGTTCAATGAATTCTCATTCCCCGACAAAGACGTACCGGTAGCTACTAGCTACGTAACTCCGACATTGTGTAGCAGGGAGATCAACAGGTCCCTTTAGAATATATTACTACTGCTATTTTACTGGACGCTGGATTGTAGACTTCTGAGACCCATTGCTTCGGAATGAACACTGAATATCTTTGTCTCGTTAAAATGCGCCACTAAAATTGCCTGAAACCTAACAAAAACCTCATAAAACGTGCAAAAGTCACCTAAACACTAGTAAAAAAGCTACTAAAACCTACCAAAAACTCCTAAAAATGTGCGAAAATAGAACACGTTTTAAACTTCGTCCAAGATATTACAGAGCATTACACTGAATATAAAACAATATTTTATAAGTAATCTTTTTAAGATTGGTATAAACGTGGGATTAGGTAACATAAAATAAGTCAAGTTTGTTTAATCTCTTGACCTACGTTCAACAAGCGAGTTCTATCGACGGATTCATTACCTAGTTGTTCACATATATTATATATTGGCTTTCATCTTCCTATGTATATATACTTCTTCCTAAACCTACTACAAGCACGTGCTGTAAAATTTTGCGGTACTCGTATTGTGACTTAACCCATATTCAATATGATTAATAAATAGTTTGCCGACGATCACTTGACAGATTGATATTGGCTAAGCAGTAGAATTTTTATGGTTTGGATAAGTAGGTGGTAGTGGGCTTCGGATAGGTAGGTTGGATAACTGGTGATTTTTTAACGAAGAAAAAACTTTCTGACGTTTATAAAAATTGTGGGATCATTGGTCACAATTCAGCAGCGTTATATCATGGGTAAATGTGTACGCTGTAGGAAATACTGTAAGGATGGGACGAGTCCGACATTACAGAGATTCGACGAATCCGAGTAATAGGTCAAGGACTCGAATCGAAACCCCCGAGTCCGTGACGTCACAATGTAAAAGTGGAAAAACACGTTTTTGACCATACTACATACTTTTTTTTGGCTGCCATAATACAAACGTAAACGTGGGTCAATGTGCGCCTTGGCTGTGAACTGGATTTTCAGCCCACCACCTTGCGTCAATTCTGGGCGGCTATTTAAAAATTATTACATGTCAAATAGAAAAATAAAAAGCTTTTGACTACAATGCTTTCCCATAAATTCAGATATTTCTAACCCTAAATTTACTATGCCGCGTTTGCAAATGGTAGAGAGGTGCCACTTGTCGTTAATACAATGCTTGCAATTCAGTAGTTCATGTTAACGTTCTGAAACGCTCCATGCTTTCCATTGCTCCCTTTTTAGAGAAAGGATTGCACGTAATAACCTCGATTTAAAAGAGGTATTGATGAGATTCCCCCTTGGGTTGATCCTGCGCATGTTTCATATTTATTTACGCGAATCGAAAACTCAAAAATATTGCGCTAACACATATTTTATTGTGTACCACATGAATACTAAAAAGGATAGATAGTTTGAAGGCGACTGGCGCATCATTGTTATAAGCTATCAATAGTTTTTACCTTGCGTTATATTATCTGGATATCTGTCGTCGTTTTTATTAGGTGTGTTTATAATACACACGAGTGATATTGTTAAATATCTAACCTTGAATTTCAACTAGTTAAGGTAGATAGTGAGATTTAAAGGGGTAACAGTACAAACATAGGCGTAAATTAGTAAAAACAGAATTGATTATAGACTCGGTAAAAACGACGTGGACTCGAAATCGAATCCGAGTCTGAAAAATGCCTGGATTCGACTCGAATCCGAGTCCGGATCCGAATCCCGGCCCATCCCTAGGAAATAGTAGCAATATATTCAAGCCATCGTACAGCTTATGGGTTGTGGGGGCCAACCAGAGCTTTGAAAGATATAAATCTTCAACAAAGTGGGTGTCAATTTAACTGAGAAAGTCGTATATCAAATTATCAAACCATGATCAATCTTTAATCTTTTTTATTTAAATCTTATCTTATCTTAAAATTAATCACAAAAACGTCGAGCTTTGATCGAATGTTTCATAGTTCAGTACCTCAAATAGTTGACCTCCTGATGGCATTCTGTAATTGGACGTACCGTACCGGACCAAAAGGACACATATTTAAAGATTTATAACCCGTTAGCTCACATATAAAAGATTGCATTGCTCACATATAGAAGATAGGGCAAAAGAATGTCAATAATGGAACCGCTCTTGAATAATTGTATTTCAAAACACAGCCCCCAGTTTATTCAGATTACCCAACTAACAAATCACTAACGAAATAGTAGTCCATAATGAATTCCCAACAAAAAGAAATATTCAGAATGGCGGTACTAACTACTAACAATGAAATGTCTCACCATATAACTTGTTTGTCAGTAGACTATGGTAATCTATATTTAGCCATGCTGTAAGTGTAGGCTACCTAACTGAGCCCCAACACACCTTTTCTGAAAACCGTCTTATTAGTATAGACACAACACGTGGCTAGTG